ATGAATAGAATTGTTATTGGGCTTTGAATACTCTTGCAAAAGCAAATATAATTGTGAATTTTGTAAAAGAAGAGAAAAGAAAAACAATCAAGAAATAAGTAAGCCCACAAGGATGCTAATGACACTACAAGATCAGTATTTCGTCCCTCAAACTTAACAATGTCATCACATTTAAAATAATTAAATAGTTTGGTAACTCAAATGATATAAATTAAAGGATGATCTTGATAATTTTTTTTATATAGTATTTTTAGATTTGAATTCGACTTGATTGATTATTATATTAATATAAAAATTTTAATTTTTTTTTTATTTTTTGTTTTAAAATATATAATATTTATAAATAATAATACAAATTTGTTGTCTGAATCATGGGTAACACTTTCATATTTTATTAAATAGGAACTTTAATTAAAAACTAATTATTAAAATTTTACCTTTCATCAACTATGGATTATATTTTACATATAAATACTATTATTTCATTAATTTGTTTAAATTTTATTTATTTACTTACGAACTTCGATCAACATATACATGGTTTGACTTTAAGTTTGTTAATTTTTATTAAAAACTTCACAAATTTTATCTTTAATCCAAAAAAAAGAAGAAAAGAAAAAGAGACAACGTTAATGAAAATTCTTCCCTTTGATAGATCAAATCTCATGAAAGTCCATCAAAATATTCTAGCAAAATTAATTCTGTTATAGAATTAATTTCTTTTTTAGTGTCACTTCCAATCAACTTATAATTTAATAAAGATCATATTCTTAATTAAAGAAATTATCAGAAATTAACAGTTGAAATTTTGAAATGTAAGGTGTACCTAAGAAGGGAGAGCAAGATAAACTATGTATTTTCAATAATAAATTCTTTAATTAAAGAATCATATCAACATTAATATAAGAATGGAGAATATTTTGGGTAGAAAATTTAATTAAGTGAAACTTTGTAAAAAGTCTTAATTTATAATGAATTTGTGTTTTTTTTTTGTGCCATTATTATTGTAAAGACTATGCAAAATAATTTTATTATTTGTAAAATAACCAATTAACTTGAACATAATTACTTGAACAAAAGGTGTACTCGAAACTAATTTACTATTAATTGACAAATTAAAGTTCTTATAAAGTGTAGGATTATATGTCACCCTGCCTTGATTGTAGTAATGAGCAAAGGTGGGTGGAGTTGGTTTTTTCTTAAACAAGTACAACCAAAAAAAAATAGTTTTAGAAACAAATTTTATATATGTGAGTTTGGGAATTCAACCGCTCAACATAAAATGGAGTTGTCACTAATTTTTTTTTATCTAATTGTTAATGACCACATATTTGAATTATATTTTTAAAATCTTACCCTAAGCTTAAGCTAAGTCCATTTTAAAAAATAAAATTTGATCTACAAAACAGATTTTAAGTTTGAAAGTATGATTATGTTGGACGAAAGTATTAGCTGCTCGATGCCCATTCAAAAAACAGTACCATTGAATTGTGTGTTATCCTATCTTGGCCTTGATCAATCATCATTGATCACAGATTTGCTTATAATTTCGTTATTTATTTATTATCTATTTTTTCTCATTTTTCACTTTTTTCTAGTTTTTTCATTATTTAAAATTTGGAAACTTTTCTTAAATTTTCCCAACACTTTTGACAAAAACTAATAGATTCCTACCTCAGAATTATTTTGGTAGGTTAATAAGAATATTTGGATAGAATGTTTTTCCCTTTCTTTTCAAATTTTTATTTTCCATTTTATTTTTATTTTTGTTTATTATTAATTTTTTGATTGAAAATTGTTTGATATTGATATTTATTTCCAAATTCTCCATACACATTTGGTAGATTTAAGAAAAACTTCTTACTTAGAAATATTAAGGAAAATGATCACTTATAACCTTCTTAAAAATTCCATTATTGTAGAATTTTTATTTGTATGTATATTTTATGTTTCTT